TATTACCATCTGGTACAAATTCGGTCAATAGGTTGTATGTAATATATAGTTTTTATATTTACAACACAACACTTACTCATAAAGTTAAATCTATAGATATATATAATAACAAGAAAGAATCCTCAATAGTCGCGGCACTTGGAATTCTTTTAAGCAGGATTAAAGTAAATTAATCTGTGAGATTGTTTACCTTTTTATTAGCTATATTTTTGTGCGCGAGTAATACCAAGCGTGGGGCGCGCGTATACTCGATTCGATTTAATTATTCATCAGCATCTCTACCAGCCTACTCTGAAATTAAAATTATTTTAGGCAGGATTAGAGTAAATTAATCTAATGGGACCTTGGGTGTGATCAAGTACATCAATGGGAAGGGTTTGACCTCTTGAGTCCAAAGCTATAATTAGATCTCAAATCGGTCAAGAAATGACGTTGCTATGAGCTGAAAGTTTGTACTTGAAAACTCAGAGCCATTCTATGAGCCGCTATGCCGCGACAAAAACGATTTTCAAATACACTGGAAAGCATTAATATGATAACACGAAAGCGCTGTTGAACAAAATAAAACAGCTGAAAATCATATTGTTCTTATTAATTTATAATACCAAAGGTATTCGTGTTAGGCTCGGCCTTTATTTTGTTGACTTCACGAGGATGGCGGGACGGCGGTCGTGTACAACATTCACCATACAGTTCTACTGAATACTAGCATAACATTTTATAGAAACTCACGACTACTGACCAGTTTCTTGGTATTAAGGCAACTATTTTCAATATTATCTAAGTTGTACTCCTAGTTGTTCACCCATATCTTCCCTGACAATTTCATGATTATCATAAATTGAGAATGACTTCAAACTTGTAAAAATGAGAAAAATGAATGAAATAAGAAGTTTCAAAAGCCACCTAAGATATACCTAAAAATCTCTGCAAGTTTCTTCGTGATCAGAGGTCAGAAAATTGGAACATTTACCTTCCAGGCGAACGAACAAACACAACCTGCTTCATAGCAGGAGAAACCAAGGCTAGTTGTTACAGTGCTCATAACTCCAAAAGTCTGATATTTAAGGATTTGTGTATACTAGTATGAGATCAGGCCTTTTCAATATCACTTATCAGGAAGTAAAGACTGAAGTCCCTCGAGACTTTCGATGGGTAAGAACAAAAACGATATTTTTACCTTCTGGGTAAATGTTTTTGTATACAGAAATTGTTTAATGTCAATTTAATGACTAAAGCTACTTGGATCACATATGGAACCATAGTGAGTATGTATACATGTCATTTGTTGTGTGAAATGTGACAATGATGACTGATCTGTTTTTAATGTGCATGGTGATAAACATGGTTGACATGTTATGGAGCTAGTTGTTACACAGTGTAACTGTACAGGACTAACTACCAAAGTCACCAGAAATTAGATGTAAAAAAAATCCAGAGGTAGTAGAAAGAAATGCAACGCTACTATATTAACCGAGAAACCTTAAAAG